GTGTGTGTGTGTTGGGGGGCTGGCTGGCCCTCAGTCAGCACCAAGGAAGCCCCTAGTTTCCAGGATGCCACCTCCAATACAGCGGGGCACTGCCATGGGGTCTGGCTAGAGTATTCATATAGTGTATAAGTCAAGCTGGATATTTAAGGGTAAACTTTCTGGGTTCAAACCTTGACTTGTACACTGTGAAATATGGTAGGCAATTGCGCAGTAAATGTAGCTGTCAGTTTCTTTGATCCTACCCCCATATTTTTAGTTAGAGCTTTACACCAGATGGTTAGTACTTACTGAATTTGGATATTTTTTGCCTTAAAAAATGGGTTGCTAACGGTTGCATACAATAACAAGTTGAAATTTGCTTTATTCCTAGGGGTACATTCAGGCAATAGTCCTACAGATTATGCTGAACTTCCTATTTCTCAAAAGGCAGGAAATACGCAGGAATCAGACAGAATCAACACCTAGGTGTGTTAATCCAGACGTGTCCAATTTTAAATTAGGAAATATTTTACCTGTAATTTAAGAGCTCTTTCCTCTTCATTAGCCGCATCAAGAAGGTCATCAATGTCAATTTCTACATCTGGCATCTCTTCTTCCTGCAAAGGGAAAAGTCCAGTTTAGTGCATTAAGTTGTCCTTTAACAAGGCTGAAAAGCTGAGCTGGCAGACTAGTAACAACACATGCATTACCATCTGGTGGGGTGAGAGGGTATCGGAGGAGAAGGAGATCAATTAGACACACCAGCTTTGTTGTTGGCACCTAGGTAAAGAGAGGTGTATACCTAGTATCTGGTGCAAGGAGCAAGATTTCTCTTTAGCAATCTTTCTGAAAAAAATCAGTAGCAATGCTAACAGTCTACAACCAGCTACCTCATCTGCCTTCCTCAAATCAGAGTCAATTAAGCATTTTGTAGGGTAAGGATGAGGGAATGGATTATTAAAAAAAGAAAACAGAAAAGAAAAGCAGAGTGAAAAAGATGCTTGAAAGTTACGCTCTGGGTTGTGCTGCCTTGCTTTTTCCATTAGTGTCATAAGGTAGTCTCAATGCACCACTGATCGACAGGGGTAATATAGCTCCCCTCAGAAAAATTCAGATTTTCAGTGCCAGCAGTAGAATGAGAAATGTAATACGCAAAGTGTTCTCCCTGAATATCCTTATTCATTTGCATCACCACTAAATCACATTTTTAAATAAAAAACTTGTCCTTTTTCCAGTTGTTTTTAAATATTATCAGCAGCAGTGTATATGTTTTTAAGAATCATTTTAGATCCTTTGTTAAACACGGAGAAAAAAGAAGTCATTCTTATAACAATGCAAAAAATATCTTGTTAGCCATTTTTAATTCTAACAAAAATACAGTTAGTATCAGTTTTTTTCCTCTGTTCTTAACCATCCAGGCTTTAGTAACCAAGATGAATTTTATCTTGCCACAAAGTTACTATCCAGATCACAGATGCCTGTTTAACAGAAATGCCAACTAGCACAAAGACTGGGCAGAAAGAAACACTGTGTAAAACTGCACCCTATCAGATGCGATCGACATGGACATGGAACTCCAGGCTTGCATGGCCAGCAATCTCACTATTCTGGAGCAAACTCCTCAGGCAGTACTGCCGGATGGAGTTTCACTGAGTTCATAAAGATATTTGCTGCACAAGGATATTCTGGTAGTTATTAG